ATGGAGGGAGGTTATATTGGGGGAGTGATGGAGTGAGGGACTGATGGAGTGATGGAGGAAAGACTGAGGGAGGGAGTGTTGTGGGGAGTGATGGAGTGTTGTATTGGGGAGTAATGGAGTGAGGGGAGTGAGTGATGGAGGGAGAGATGAGGGAGGGAGTGTTGTATTGGGGAGTGATGGAGTGTTGTATTGGGGGAGTAATGAGTGAGGGAGGATGGAGGGAGTGTTGTTGGGGAGGATGGAGTGAGGGAGTGATGGAGTGATGGAGGGAGAGTGAGGGAGAGAGAGTGATGGAGTGATGGGGAGTGTAGTGATGGGTGAGGGAGGGAAGAGTGATGGAGTGAGGGAGAGTGTTATATTGGGAGTGATGGAGTGGGGGTGATGGAGTGAGAGAAGCAGGGAGAGGAGTGTTATATTGAGGTGATGGGGTGAGGTGATGGGTGATGGAGGAGAGAGTGAGGAGGTGTTGTGACAGGAGTGATGGGTGATGGGGTGAGTGAGGGAGGGAGGGAGGAGGAGGAGGAAGCTATGAGAGGTGATATTAGATAGAGGGTAAAGGTGAGGTGGTTATTGTGTTGATGGGGTGCAGAGAGAGAGAGAGATGAAGAGAGAGAGAGAGAGAAGTGACAGACACACAGTAAATTGTTCAGTGTTATCTGTGTGTGTATTATTCTGTTATCAGTATATTACATAAAACCCTCCTTCCTCACACCTCCCTCCTCCTTGCCTCCAACACACCCCAACACCCTCCAACACACCTCAACACACCCTCCAACACACCCTCCAACACACCTCCACACCCTCCAACACCTCCTTCCTCAACACCCTCCAACACACCCTCAACACACCCCTCCAACACACCCTCCAACACACCCCTCCAACACACCTCCAACACCCTCCAACACATCCTCACTACATACATACATACATACATACATACATACATACATACATACATACATACATACATACATACATTTAGAAAACAGTAATGAAAATTCCCTCTACTGACAATACCCGGGGATCGAACCACAGAACCTTTGGATAGAAATCGAGTAGGTCATCCACTCAATAATCGATTCAAAAGAAATACATAATATATACAGAACACAATACAGTATGTTAGCGAGCGGTACAGAAAGGAAGGATACATCGGTGTAATATTTCAGGTGTCGAGTACAGGTAGTACAGGTTAATGTCGAGTACAGGTAATAGAGTTGTGTCGAGTTCAGGTAATAGAGGTGTGTCGAGTACAGTGGCAGGTGTGTCGAGTACAGGTAATAGAGTTGTGTCGAGTACAGGTAATAGAGGTGTGTCGAGTACAGGTAGTACAGGTGTGTCGAGTACAGGTATTACAGGTGTGTCGAGTACAGGTAGTACAGGTGAAGGTAAAGATACGAAACAGGTTACCTGACTTTCAAACATGCGTCATACACAAACAAACATGCGTCATACACAAACAAACATGCGTCATACACAAACAAACATACATGATACACAAACAAACAAAAACAAATGACACCAACAGTACAAAGTTCTTAAGCCCAGTGAAAGTTTGTTCGGCAACTTTTAATTTTATCAGAAATAGTTTGAGATTTTGTTAGTTTTATCATTAATAATAGGTAATAACGCCTTAAGCTCCCTTTAAGATTAACTCCCTTAACTTACTATAATGCATTGACCTTCTCTCTTTCTTCCTTCCTCTCTTTTTCTTCCTTCCTCTCTCCTCCCCTCCTCCTTCCTCTCTCCCTCCCTCCCTCCTCTCCTCCTCCTCCCCTCCTCCCTCCTCCCTCCCCTCCTCCCTCCCTCCCTCCCTCCTCCTCCTCCTCTCTCCCTCCTCCTCCCCTCCCTCCCTCCCTCCCTCTCCCTTCCTCGCTCCCTCTCTCCTCCCCTCTCCCTCCTCCTCCTCTCCTCCCTCCCTCCCTCTCTCCCTTCCTCTCTCCCTCTCTCCCCTCCCCTCTCCCCTCCCTCCCTCCTCTCTCCCTCCTCTCTCCCTCCCTCCCCTCTCTCCCTTCCTCTCTCTCTCTCCCCTCCCTCTCCCCTCCCTCTCTCTCTCTCTCTCCCTCCCTCCTCTCTCCCCCTCTCTCTCCCCTCCCTCCCCTCTCTCCCTCTCTCCCTCCCTTCCTCCAGTTGTTACGACCATCATGTACATCATCTGACACTCTACTTTGTTTGTGTTGTTGTGTGTCGGCTCAGCGGGAAGACGTTCTTACTCTCCTTAACACCACAGGGAGAGTAGAAACGTCTCCCTGCACCACAGGGAGAGTAGAACGTCTCCCTTAACACCACAGGAGAATAAGAACGTCTCCCTTAACACCACAGGGAGAGTAAGAACGTCTCCTTAACACCACAGGGAGAGTAGAACGTCTCCTTAACACCAGGAGAGTAAGAACGTCTCCTTAACACCAGGAAGTAAGAACGTCTCCCTTAACACCACAGGAAGTAAGAACGTCTCCTAACACCAGAGGAGAGTAGAACGTCTCCTTAACACCAAGGGGAAGTGAAACGTCTCCTTAACACCAGAGAGAGTAAGGCGATCTCCTTAACACACAGGAGGTAGAACGTCTCCTTAACACCAGGGAAATAAAACGTCTCCCTTAACACCTGGATTGGGTCCTTAACACCACGGAAGTAAGAACGTCTCCCTTAACACCCAGAGAAATGAAACGTCTCCCTTAACACCACAGGGAGTAAGAACGTCTCCTTAACACCACGGGAAATAAGAACACGTCTCCCTTAACGCCACAGGAAGAGTAAGAACGACAATGTAACGGACGACTATATAACGGATTGAATAACGGACTAGATAACGGACTATGATATAATAGAATAACATGAGGAAAGTGTTATACGTCACACACACACCACACACACACACACACACACACACACACACACACACACACACACACACACACACACACACACACACACAAGTCATCCTCATGATTGCCTTGGCTCTTACAGCTGATAAATATACACCATAGCTGGCCCTTCCTCTCTCCTCCTCTCCCTCCCTCTCTCCCCTCCCTCTCTCCCTCTCTCCCTCCCTCCCTCTCTCCTCCCCTCCCCCTCCCTCCCTCTCTCCCTCTCCCTCCCTCCTCCTTCCCTCCCTCTACTCCTTGGATGCTGATCTGTTCTCCCTCTCCCTCTGTACCTCCTCTCTCCTCTCTTCCCTCTCCCTCTGTACCTCTCCTCTCTCCCTCTCCCTCTCCCTCTCTCTCCTCCCTCTCTCCCTCTCCCTCTCCTCTCCCTCTCTCTCCTCCCTCTTCCTCTCTCCCTCTCCCTCTCCATCTCCCTCTCTCTCCTCCCTCTTCCTCTCCTCTCCCTCTCCATCCCCCTCTCTCTTCCCTCTCCTCTGCCCTCTCCCTCTCTCCTCCCTCCTCTCCCTCTCCATCCCCCTCTCCCTCCTCTCTCCCCTCTCTCCCCTCCCCCTCTCTCCTCCCCTCTCTCCCCTCTCCCTCTCCATCCCCTCTCTCTCCTCCCTCTCTCCCTCTCCCTCTCCATCCCCTCTCTCCTCCCCTCTCTCCTCCTCTCTCCATCCCCTCTCTCTCCCCTCTCTCCTCTCCCTCTCCATACCCTCTCTCTTCCCTCTCCCTCTGTACCTCTCCTCTCTTTCCTCCCCTCTCTCCCTCTCCCTCTCCATCCCCTCTCTCTCCTCCCCTCTTCCTCTCCCCTCTCCCTCTCCATCCCCCTCTCTCTTCCCTCCCCTCTCTCCCTCTCTTTTCCTTCCACCAGCCTTGTGATCTCTTACCCTCTTTACTTTCTTTTCTCTATCTCCTCCCATTTTTTCTCTCTTTCTCTCCTCTACTTTCCTTTCCTCTTCCTTCAGTTACTGTTATTTTTTCTTCTCCATTCTCGTCTCATTTTCGTCTTCTCTTGTTCTCCTCTCTTTCGCTTTCTATTCTCCTTCTTTACTTTCTCTTCCCTTCTCTATTTTTTTTCTCTCTTCTGCCCCAGCCTCTCCTCCCAACTTCCCTTCTCCCTCCTAAACCCTCCTTAACCATCTTATCCCCTCCCCTCCCTCCCCTCCCCAGTCTCCCCCCCTCCCTCCTCCCCTCCCCTCCCTCCCCTCCTCCCCCAGTCTCCCCTCCTCCCCCTCCCAGTCTCCCCTCCCCTCCCTCCCCTCCCCAGTCTCCTCCCCTCCCCAGTCTCCCCTCCCTCCCTCCCTCCCTCCTCCCCCAGTCTCCCTCCTCCCCAGTCTCCTGAGTGGGACTTAGGTGTTCTAGTATTGATTCTACGGGACCCATAAAAGCACAACTGGGTGGACGAGGCGATAACATGGCTCCTGGGGTCTCTGTGTTGGGGAGGTAGGGAGTCAGAGGGAGGAGATATGAGTGTAAGGGAGGAAGAATCAGGAGAAGAGGTCGAGGGAGAGATTATGAGAGAGGAATGACAGGGTGGAGTGGGAGGGTATCGGAGGAGAGGTAGGAGAGAGGAGGGAGAAGAGAAGAAAAATTTTAGGGAGGAAAGTTGAGACTGGACGAGAGAGTGGGAGAGATTGGTGAGGGTATGGGGAAGACAGCGTACAGTATGTGGGGAGTCAGTAATGATGGAGAGATGGAGGGAGAGGGTAGGGTGGGAGAAGATAGGGTTGAGGGGAGAGGAGTAGGGTAGGAGATGAGACAGCAGAATCGGATGAGTGTGATGGTTTGCCTGGTTGTAATGGGAGGGAGGGAGGGGAGGGAAGGGGAAGAGAGGAGGAGGACAGCTTGGATAAACTCACACGCATACAGACACAACGAGTAGACACACCACTCACACATACACACTCGTGCATTTACATAAGTATACACATAAACACAGACACACACGGCCGTCAAGAGACACAGTTACAACACACACACACACACACACACACACACACACACACACACACACACACACACACACACACACACACCCTTTGCCCTCTATCACAACTGTCTCTGGACCCGTAATGTAAACAGCTGATCGGTACAACAAAACGCAGCTGATTGACGTATATATACCGCACTTACCTACAACAGACAGACGGTAGAACTTCCTGAGACTGACGGCAGTATTGAGGGAGCACATGTACCGTCCCGCGTCGTTCATCTGGACGTTCTTAATGGTGAGAATCCAAGCCTGTTCACCGTTCACCTTAAAGGAATGGTGAACGGTGATCCGGGGGTTTTCTGTGAACACGTCGTCACCCATAGCAAAGACGATACCTTTCTTCATCTCCAACCACGCCGTCTGTGAGGAAGGGAGAGAGAGAGAGAGAGAAGATGATGTTGGGAGACAGGGAGATGGATGAATACAGTGATGAAAGACTCGGGGATGAAATATTGAATGATGTTTAGATCTGGAAGGAAAAACTGATAGATTGACATACAAATTATCTCTCTCTCTCTCTCTCTCTCTCTCTCTCTCTCTCTCTCTCTCCTCTCTCTCTCTCTCTCTCTCTCTCTCTCTCTCTCTCTCTCTCTCTCTCTCTCTCTCTCTCACACCATCAACCTCACCAGCAAAAAGAGACATACTCCTCTTCCGTGTTTTTATCCAAGTGTGGTCGTGTTGAGGTGAGAATTATGCAGACTACAACCGCATCCACCGAGCACTTGCCTTCAACATTAACCTGTGTATATTTTACGAGTGTGACGGTGGCACTCTCTAACGTATTGCACTGGAACTATGGTTTAATTTAGTGATAATAATAATAAATACAGGTAAATATTGTTGTTGTTGTTATTATTATTATTATTATTATTATTATTATTATTATTATTATTATTATTATTATTATTATTATTACTACTACTACTACTTTTGTTTTATTACTGTAGCCTCCAGCCTCCCCCAATAGCCACACCTTCGCCGCCATATTAGTACCTTAATATTAAATATCCTAATACATAAGTAGCTATCCTAGCTGTGTTGAGTTAGTTGAGCCGCAGATCTATGCAGTATTCAGTGACTGTAGCCTCATAGTCAATATCTGCAACCATTGTCGGCTTTGGGGCCGATGCTCTCGTTCGCCTGAGGTAGAGAAAACCGACCTAAGGAGAGAGAAGGACAGTCGTCATCTCATCCAGGCTGTAACATAACTTCTGGGCTGCTGCTTCTGTTCGGAGATCAACTCCGCGAGTCTGGCGGAGAAACATCTTGCACTTGGTCCCATCCCACCAGAGGTTGTGAACACTACTACTACTAACAATAATAATTTCGTCATGGTTTTAAAACATTGTTACGTTGAACAAAAAGCACACGGATAAAAATATATTTACGGGGAAAAAATGACTTATTAACAAACTGTATTTTCAAAAAGTTTCATAATTAGTGATGTCACAAAAGTATCGATAATGACTGTCAGGTTTAGAGCATTGTGTTGATGGCGTCCAATAGTTGTGTTTGGTTTAAAGGCCAAAATCCCTTTGTTTTTCGACGTGATTTTCATTTAAAGTTTTGGCCAATGAAAGCGATTGTGTAACCCCTATAAACTATATCCTATTAAGGGCGGCGTGGCTATAGTACACTGCATGAATATTAAACTTTCATATACAAGGCACTGCACTCTCCCTCTTTCACTTCCTCAACAAGAAAGTCAGGTACCAGTTAGGTTGACAAGGGGGGACCACTTTAAATTCAACCCCTCTAAACGCCCCCCCTCCCCCCCAAGAACCACCCCCACATCTGCCCCCCCTAAGAACCCCCCCCTCTCCCTCTGCCTCCCCTATCCAATAATCCACACTCATCCACACTTAGTTAAATCCACTTATCCACATTTATCCACATTTAATTAATACTTTTTTCCTTTAATTCGCGTCGAAAAAAAACTTCCATGATAATTTCAAGCGAGCGGCAATAAAGTGCTATGTTGTGCCTCTAATATGATACTGAGTTCCATTACGTTATTGGCTGAAGAGTGTGAACTCTCTCTCTCTCTCTCTCTCTCTCTCATGTAATTTCACGGTGATTACTAGACGAGAGAGAGAGAGAGAGAGAGAGAGAGAGAGACAAAGCGTGATAAACAAGAAGAAAAATCAGACAAAAAAAATCAAATAAAAGACGAAAGATAAGATAAAAGAGAAAGAAGAATGAAAGAAGGATGACATTAAACAAAAATAATATAACAGAGAAGAAAGAACAACATATAGAGAGAGACAGAAATAGAGTAACAAGATTTAGTCAATATAAGTGTACATGTCTCTACTAGAATACTCAAGAGGCCACAAAAATATACAAGGTGGTTTTTCGACACACCGAGGCAGACACGCTGACGACTGTAGCTTTTAGGGGTGGGTGGGGGGAACACTTTCAACACTATGGATGGGAGGTGTTATGGAAAAAAGTCTATTATAAGTGTGTAAAAAGTTTGTAAGAAAGTATGTAAAAAGTTTGTAAAAAAAATAAGTAAAAGTATGTAGAAGTGTTTAAAAAGTTTGTAAAAAAAATGTGAAAAGTATATAAAAATGAGTCAAAATTAATAAAACTTCTTAGAATTAATAATTTATTTCTACATTATGAATCACAACCGTGGGAATGTAGTGTGAGGAATTATGTACTGTACCGTGTTTCTTGTATCGTGGGAACATTTCTTGTACCGTGGGAACATTTCTTGTACCGTGGGAATATTTCTTGTACCGTGGGAATATTGCTTGTACCGTGGGAACATTTCTTGTACCGTGGGAACATTTCTTGTACCGTGGGAATATTTCTTGTACCGTGGGAACATTTCTTGTACCGTGGGAATATTTCTTGTACATACCTGTTCTTGTACCGTGTGAATATTTCTTGTGCTTGGACCGTGTACCGTGTGAATATTTCTTGTACCGTGGGAACATTTCTTGTACCGTGTGAATATTTCTTGTACCGTGGGAACATTTCTTGTAATATTTCCTTGTACCGTGGGAACATTTCTTGTTTCTTGTACCGTGGGAATATTTCTTGTACCGTGGGAACATTTCTTGTACCGTGGGAATATTTCTTGTACCGTGTGAATATTTCTTGTACCGTGGGAACATTTCTTGTACCGTGGGAATATTTCTTGTACCGTGTGAATATTTCTTGTACCGTGGGAACATTTCTTGTACCGTGGGAATATTTCTTGTACCGTGGGAACATTTCTTGTACCGTGGGAATATTTCTTGTACCGTGTGAATATTTCTTGTACCGTGGGAACATTTCTTGTACCGTGGGAATATTTCTAGTGCCGTGGGAACTAACTCTTTCTTTAATCTCCAACAATAAATTAAACTTTATTTGAAATTTACGTCTCAGTTATGGACACTTCATGCATTTTATATCAAAGGTTGTGTGTGTGTGTGTGTGTGTGTGTGTGTGTGTATGTGTATTTATTATAATCCCTACAAATATACAAGCAGTGTCTCGTAGTTTATTACAATAATCTGTAAAAGTTTGGTTGATGTACAGTATGTGGGAGTATACATGATAGCATACGCTGTTTTTAGGAAATACATACATACATACATACATACATACATACATACACAGACAGATACATAGTGAGGCGTATAGACAGACAGACAGTACATAATGTTGTGGATGGTATTTAAAGACAGAGAGACTGACAGAGATAGATAGAGAGAGAGACAGACAGAGAGACTTACCTGGTAGTGCATGATGTTGTGAACAGTACATTTGAAGATAGCGTCCCTCCCCACCGCTGCCCTCACCTCCAGCTGATCATGTGACCCGAAGCGCGGTAGGTCGTCTGTGAGGGGAGGGTTAGTGGACAAAATCACATTGGACAAATCATGAAATCCTATTGGACATATCATAAAATCTTATTGTCCAAAAATCCCAAATCCTACTTGACTTAATCGAAAATTCTACTGTAAAAAAAATCCAAAATCCTACGTGATATAATCCTCATATCTTATAGGATAAAATATAAAAATTCTACTGCATAAAATTCCAAAATCCTACTATATGTAAATCCTAAAATCCTACTACATAAAATCCCACTGGGTGAAGTCTCTAAATTTCCCTGTACAAAATCCCAATAAGAAATTATAAAATTAAATCCCACTGAACAAAATCTCTCAAATCTAAAAAAAAAAAAATCAAAGGAAAAATAAAATCACATAAAATCCCACTTCATAAAATTCCTTAAAAAAACAAAAACTCAAAGAAAATCACAAATACAAAATAAAATTCCAACATAAAATCTCCGTACAAAATTTTCCTCTAAACTCCGGCTGAAAAAATTAATAAAAATAAATTGTGAGTCATTAAAGAGTCAACCAGGTCTTTAATATCGTCGAAAACTGTTAATTATCCGAAATAAGCTTGAATCATGGGTAGGAAATCGGGCAGCTTTACCGGGCGGAAAAGCTTAAGATTGGGTCATTTTAGGCTCAAGTCTGCCAATTAACAGACACACAGGTACTACACAGGTAGCTGATGATGTAATAAGTGTTATGACGTCATCGTTTTACCTGGAGTTTATCACCTTGCTCTTTTCTACCGTCTCATTAGCTCTCGTTGTGTGTGTGTGTGTGTGTGTGTGTGTGTGTGTGTGTGTGTGTGTGTGTGTGTGTGTGTGTGTGTGTTTTGGTGGAGGGGCGATGGAGGAGGAGGAGGAGGAGAAAGAGGGGAAGAGGAGAAAGTACCTGATGTCATCTTGTTGTTGTTGTTGTTGTTGTTACCCCAAAATCCCTCTCAGACCCTCCTTTCCTTACCCTCCCACTCTCCCTCCCATCCCCATCTCAACACCCATCCCTCTCTCTCTCTCCCCATCTCCCATTCCCCATTCCCTCCAGCACCCTAAAGAGTCATTTCTAAAGGTGGCAACATAGTGGATGGGAAACTGATTTATTTTCCTTGAGGATTTTACACGAGTCGTCAGGGGTCAAGAGGATGCGTAAATATTGTCTTGTATTTTGTTAAGTCGTTTTTGGGGGGGATTTTAGGATAGGGATTTTATGTCTTTGAGATGTATATATGTAGTTATTTATATTGAGGTTTTTTTTATTTAGTTATATAGGAAGAATAGATAGATAGTGTTACGAGTTGGGGATTTGAATATAGTTATACGTCTACAGATCCCAACAGGTAACAACAATAAAAAAAAAAAAAGACAATCGGACTATAAAAGGGTAGACAAAGGATGCGAGTTTTCGTTGTATATAATAGAGTACCATAAATCCTAACAAAATATTCAGCTTATAAATTACCCTTAACCAAACTTAACCTAAACATTAACAGTATATACATATTAATAAACATAAAACAATCTCGAAGCAAGTGGACGTGATACAAGATACTAGTACTTAAGTGAGGAGCTGAGATGGCTGAGAGTAAGGCTAGAAGACGGTAGGTAGTCACTGCACGTAGGTTTAGAGGATAGATGATCCTGTGGTCACTTCCCAGAGCCAAGTGCTTCTCCTCGAATTGGAGCTGACAAAGAAGACTGAGGAGGTGACGCAACAACCAGGATAGGAGAAGGGACACTCGAAGTGGTAACTAAGACGAGTCATACTCGTGTCTCGTCCCTAGATGGCGTTGCTCGTGGTGCTGAGTGGGTAGATCAGGACAATAGATGGCGTGGTTCGTAGTGCGGGGTGGAGGGGTTCGCACACCCCCTCAAAGACCTCCAGCGCTGGCGCGAAGGAGGTGATCAACTGGTGCGTCTGGAGAGTAGCTGCTGCATTTCCACTGGAGCTCGGGATAAGGGTCTGCAATCAGGTTGTCGACCCCTTTATGTGCCGGACTTGTAGATTATAGGGCTGGGTGAGGAGGCCGCGGAGGATTCGCTGGTTGGAGGTCTTGTTGGTTTGGATCTCTGGGATCGGGAACTACTTTAGCAATTCGACACTTTGGTGTTTACAATTCTGGATCCGTATGGCCTGGGTTTTTACAGCAGTAAGAACAAGTAACCTTGTAGTTTGCATCCAGAATGGTGTGGGACCTTTCGACCTACCACTCACGTTCAAGGTTATCATCAGAGGACCTAACATGTCAGGAATTACGTTCTCTCTACTGCCAGTGATGACTCCACCAACAAAGCGTACGCATCAATAACTCAGCAGCACGCCTAAATCAACCTCTCCACGCTCCTCCATGCTTTAAGATGAAATGGTATCTTGCTCTTCCACTCCTCGGACTACCAAATTAACAAATCCTGAAATGTGGAAGTCTCTTGTAACTATCTAGCCACTTCAAAAACCTAGCTTTCTTGAGCAAACTCAGCAGGTGTGGAAATGGTTTGGTTAGTTTGCAAAACTTCTGCCATTATCCATCTGGCGTGATAGCACATGAAGGTGAGGATATTCTTTTACGTTATCTTAGTCATCAGTCTGGTCCTAGCAGTTATAAACTCTGCAGGCCTTACCATATGGTTGGAACTATTACTGACACCCACTGGTCCTTTGGCCACTCATTCTTCCCGGCTGGCCTATAAAGGTCTAAATGACCCGTCCATATCGGATTCACCAGAAGGCAGGAACAAGGGAAGAAACAGTAGCAGGGGTTAAGCAGCTAGTTTCTCTCTTAATGCCACTTCTTTTGATCCTAAACTCCGATGTTAAAAGGTGACTTCTATCTCTCTTACCTGTAGTTCTTTCAGTCAACCTCCTGCTCCAACTTGGCCCCGTTCCATCATTCCTCATGCTCCCAGCATGCTCCAACCGGCCTGTTTCCAACTTGGCCTGTTCCAGAGCCTTTCTTCAGGCTCCAACAGCCTGCTGCTCCAACTCAGCCTGTTCCAGCTCAGGTTCTTTCATTTTGATTTGGAACTCGAACCTGGCTCATTCTAGTTCAGGCGTCTATTCGTTGTGTTTTGGGGGCTGGCTGGACCGCAAACTTCTGAGTGAGGAGGGTGGTGGATAGTGGTTGAAGTTTCTGGACATGGGCGATTAGTCTGTCAACAACGGATTCTTTAAAACCATGTTGAACCAGCACTTCAATCACATGATTTTTAACATTTCCTCCAGTCAGTTGCTGTGAAAATGGGGATATATTATAATAGTTGGCTATTTCTTTCCATTCTTTCTTTGAGGATATTAACACGTAATTTAGCTTTTGGAAGGATTTTCAATAAAATCCTGGAGATCAAAACTCTAAATTGTGGGTATTTAAAGAAAATAGGATCGGTAACTAATGGTCCAAAAGATAAAGATAAGTGGATAACCTAGAAAATATCCGTAAGTATGGATAACAGAAAGTCCGAAAACTAACCAAGTTATACCTAGGGAAATTACACTTATAAGTTATTTGTTCTTTAGGAAGATCATATAGAATAGAGATGAAGACTGGAGGTAGGGAACGTATTACGGCATTAATATAAAAGATCCGGTTAACAACCTGATATGCTTGAAGAGGTAGGGGCGTATTGGCATAATATAAAGATCCGGATTAAGCCTGATAAAATGGTATGATTGACCTAGATGAGGATAATAGAAGGAGCAATAAATTGAGGCTTTATAATTGCCAGGATTCTGGTAGGGAAACGTGGCGTCCCAAGATATCACTTCACCAAACAAACTGGTGACTGGAGACAGCCTACTCTGGGTGAAGTGCGGCATTAAACAGATCCAGTTCTTCCCTACCTCGATAAGACTTACTACGACTGCCACGTGTAATAACAGGTAAACCTTGACACTTGGAACTAATATCCACTACGTCTGTCACTCTTGCTGTACGATAATGCCAATATGTACATATGAAGGAAACTTTAAACTATAAAGCAATTGTAGACAAGTGACTGGGAGGAATAAATTAACACTGAGTAACAAGGGAGGAAGGAATATAGTGCCAAGGTCGTGTCCTGTCTGGAGTCATGCATTTATTTACGAGTTGGGGATTTAGATTATACGTCTGCAGATCCCAACAGGTAACAACAATAAAAAACAAGGAACAATCGGACCATAAAAAGGGTAGACAAGGATGCGGTTTTGGTATATATAATAAGTACCATAAATCCCTTAACAAAATATTCAGCTTATAAATTACCCTTAACCAACTTAACCTAAGCATTAACAGTATATGTTAATAAACATAAAACAATCTCAAAAAGCAAGTGGACGTGAAGTGACCAAGATACTAGTACTTAAGTGAGGAACTGAGATGGCTGACGAGTAAGGCTGAGTATGAAGACAGTGGTAGTCACTGCACGTAAGGTTTGAAGGAATAGATGATCCTGCTGTGGTCACTTCCCAGGGCCAAGTACTCTCCTCGGAGTGGAGCTGATGAAGACTTTGAGGAGGTGACGCAACGAAAACCAGGGATAAGGAGGAAGGAAACCTCAGGTGGTAGCTAAGACAGGATAATACTCGTGTCTACGTCCTAGATGGCGTTGCTCGTGTGATTGCTGGGTAGGTAAGATCAGGACAATAGATGGCGTGGTTCGTAGTGCGGGGGTGGAGGGTTCGTAACTGTGAATAGTTAGATTGATTGATAGATAGATAGATAGATAGATAGATAGATAGATAGATAGATAGATAGATAGATAGATAGATAGATAGATAATAATGCAGGTTAATGTTAGATATTGATACATTAACTGGTTGTCATTGGAGATAAAACTCAGACGTGGTCAATGATCTGTCGAGGTAAATCACCATTAATGTGGGGTTATTGTCACGTTAACTCCGGGTTATAGCGAAGGTTAATATCACGGTTAACGACTTGGAGGATGCTTAACCTAACATAAACCTAGACTAACCTAACCTAATCTAACCTAAACCTAACCTAACCCTTCCATGGCTTTTT